AAAAAAAAAAAAAAAGAAATTTCTTTGGTCAAATTGAATTTTCTTGCTACCCAAGGCATAAGAAAGTCAATAACTATAAATTTATAAAACTATTTCTTCAAAAACAGAAACAAGAAAGATTGTCAAGTTGTCATCTTGCATATTTACTATTATTTGCAGGGCTTGACAATTCTAGTAACTGTAAGTAACGAAGCATGGCTATAATCTTTGCTTTAATGCTTTCTCCCAAGTGTCTTACCATATGTGAGACTGGACATGAGCTATGTGACCCAGATATTCACACATCTGACTAGACAGAGAGGTTAGCTTTAGTTACCTTCTTCTTAGTGAAACTGTGGCTTCTTACAACTTTGTATCTCCACACCATGATTGTGACAATGAGCATTCCACATTCCCAGTATCAGATTTCTTATGTATAGTGAGTTGTGGTTTCCAATCTAAGGCTTTCCTAAAGTCACTGCATTTATAGGGTTTCCGTTTAGTATGAATTTTCTGATGTTTAATAAGATTTGATCTGATGGTGAAGGCTTTTCCACATTCAGTGCATATATATGGTCTCTCTCCTGTGTGAATTCGCTGATGCTCATGAAGTTGTGACTTCTTAATGAAAGCCTTTCCACAGTCACTACATTCATAGGGTTTCTCTCCAGTGTGAATTCTCCGATGTCTATTTAAGTGTGACTTCTGGATGAAGGATTTTCCACACTCAGTACAAATATAGGGTTTCTCCCCTGTATGAATTCTCTGATGCATAATTAGTGTTGACTTCCTTGCAAAGGCTTTCCCACATTCACTGCATTCATAATGCCTTTCCCCAGTATGAGATTGCTGATGTATATGAAGACCTGACTTTCGAGTGAAGGCTTTTCCACAGTCACTACATTTATAAGGTCTCTCTCCAGTATGAATTTTCTGGTGTGTAAAGAGATTTGATCTGTCAGTGAAAGCTTTTCCACATTCAGCACACCTATAGGGTTTCTCTCCTGTGTGAATTTGCTGATGCACGTGAAGTTGTGATTTCTTAGTAAAGGATTTCCCACAGTTATTGCATTCATAAGGTTTCTCTCCAGTATGAATTCTCTCATGTGTAATAAAATGTGATTTGTGGAAGAAGGCCTTCCCACATTCAGTGCAAACATAGGGCTTTTCTCCTTTATGAATTCTCTGATGCATACTTAGTGTTGATTTCTGAATGAATGCTTTTCCACATTCATTACATTCATAATGTCTCTCTCCAGTATGACATTTCTGATGTATTCTGAGTCGTGACTTCCAAGTGAATGATTTTCCACAGTCACCACATTTATAGGGTTTCTCTCCAGTATGAATTTTTTGGTGTTTAATAAGATTTGACCTGTCAGTAAAGGCCTTCCCACATTCAGTACAAATATAGGGTCTTTCTCCAGTATGAATTTTCTGGTGTATAATGAGATTTGTCTTGTGAGTGAAAACCTTACTACATTCTGAACATATGAAGGGATTCTCTCCTGTGTGAATTCGCTGATGCACATGAAGTTGTGACTTTTTAATAAAGGATTTCCCACAATCACTGCATTCATAAGGTTTCTCTCCAGTGTGAATTCGCTCATGGGTAGTAAAATGTGATTTCCGGATAAAAGCTTTCCCACATTCAGTACACACATACGGTTTCTCTCCTGTATGAATTTTCTGATGCATACTTAGTGTTGATTTTCTTGTGAAGGCCTTTCCACATTCAGTACATTCAAAGTGTTTCTCTCCAGTATGTTTTTTTTCATGTATATTGATATTAGAATTCTGAGAGGTATTTTTCTCACATTCTCTGTGTTCATAGGGTTTTCCCCCATTATTAATCCCCTGACATTGGGTAAATTTTTCTCCATATTCACTACACATAAAGTGATTCTCCTTAGCATGAGTTTTCTCATGGTTTGACTTGAGGAAAAAGTCTTTCTCATATTCCTTACATATATATTGTTTCTTACTTGTATAAATCTGAGGAACAGCAAATTGGGACTTCTGAGTGAAGACTGTCCCATACTTGCTGCATTCATGTTGTTTTTCTTCAGTATATATACTTTGATGTGCAGAAAGATGTGACTTTTGGGTGAGAATTTTTATAGAGTCAGAAAATAAAAAGAGATGCTCCCTAGTCTGAATTTTTGGATGTTGAATGAAAGTGTGCTTCTGATTCATAGGTTTTTTACATTGATTATTTTCATATGCACTCATTTCTGTATGAGAATTCAAATGAGTAAAAAAGTTATCCACAATCTTATCCAGATTTGCAGTTATACCATTTCTATTGTAATTATGTAAGCTTATAATAGGCTTCAAACTTTTATCAAATGAGTCATAATTATGAGTTTTTTTCCTTGAAGGAATAAGGTGTGTGTTTACATGAACTATTTTTCCAATGTCTTTATAATCACAGTTCTTCTCATTAACCAGGGTTCCTTTGTTGATGAAGAGGACAGAATTTAAATGTTTATTATAGTTTTTCTCATATCTCCTTGTCTGTTCATTTTCTTGCCACAATTCCTCTAAAGTGGAATAAGAATCATCTCTTCTGAGAAGATTAATTCTCTCAAATTGGACTGAAATGCCATCATACATTCCTTGTGAAGTTTCAAAACAAATATCCCCATCTAAAAAAGACAGAAAAGAGAAAACTGACACAAAGAACAGTTAATTGATAATAGAAGGATTGCTATATAACAGCAGATTCAGAGTGAACATAGGGGAAAGAGAGAGGTTCTATAAACCTGTATAATTATAGCAATCTATTTAAATAAGATGTAACAATACAGAATAAAATGAACATTTGTATTACATTTACTGCATGATATACAATACCCCGATACATGTTAGGCATTCTTTTAAGTTTTCTAATAACTCATTCTACATCATCATAGTCCTTTGCTCTTGATATTATTGTTGTCTTTATTTTATAGATGAGGAAACTGAGTTAGAGAAGAATTAAGGAATTTGATGTAGATCAAAAGTTTGGTAATTGGGGAAAATAAGATCAAAACCAAAGTAAGTCAATTCTAAGCATGTAGCAAAACTACATAGTTAAGGCATCAGAAGATCAAAGAGACAAACTGTGGATTAAAACAAGTATATATATGAGTCTAAATCTTTATTATCATTCATCTATAAAGCCTCATCAATTTCCTTGCTCTCTTTTTACCCTATTAACTACTATTTTCTAAATACCAATTTATATGATTTATTGTAGCCTCAATCATTCTGACTTAGTCAAATAGTTAATGGGTATATAAAATTAATTTTTTTCTCCCTGGTTTGGAGTATAGAGAATCTTACAGAACACATTCATGTGCTCATAACAGAAATACACTCCTCCATCAAAAGCTTTAAAATTGTAGAAAAGCATGTGGCTGCCTCAAAACAATGTCTCAATGTCTGTCCAGGCTCATCTGCCATTAGATGTTGCCAAGTAATTCAGTGCCCATCAAACAAATGGTAGATAAAAAAATATGTGTGTGACAAGGCCAGTGTGCTTCTTTATAACCTCTTTCTCGTCTAGCTGGCTCTATTCCAGACTTGATAGCATCCAGCGCTATGCAACTGGCAATGCCCTATACAGAAAGAGAACAGAAAGCTATGACCTTAGAGTGGATTTTTCCATTTTAAAATTATTAGGAAAAAAAAATCAGGAGAAAAATAACATGTCTTAGCACTTGAAAATGAAAATGACCATAAAATATTTATTGGAACACAATCATACCAAGTTGCCGATGTATTGTCTGTAGTTGCTTTTGAGTTACAACAGAGAATTGAATAGTTACGACAGCACATGCACATGTAAATAGTGTTAGAATAACTTGGGTATGAGAAATTTCAGATATGATTTTAGGTGATATCACTGGAAATTGAGGAGTGGGCAACTAAATGATATTCCCTAATAGAGAAAAACTGTTGGAGAAATGAGTAAGGGGGAAAAGGAAAAAACCACAAAGGAATATGACAAAACTTTGAAAGGGGAGCTACCTGCTCTTAGCACATTATGTTGTAACTGCCCTCTTGCACTGAACAAGCAGCCACCTGGTGGGGTCTTATATGGATAAGGTATTCATCCTTCTTGGAGGGACTACACACAGGCCAATGACTGCTTGAGACATACAACTTGCAGTGACAGGGAGAAGAGCTTATGCCAGAATTGACATATGTGACTCAATCTGAAACACAGAGTTAAGTTTAGGCTGAGACACAATCCAGGGTCACTTTAAGGTAGACCTAAACCATTACAACTGTCCCTAACCTCCAAGTATAACTTCCAACCAACTGGTTACAACTGTAACAGAGGCTCACAGGACAGCAGCACAAGTCCAAGTATGTATTTGCCAGCAAGCAGTAGAGCCAGACAGCAAAAGAGAGAGCCCTGTAACGGTGGTCATCATCTAGACAACTTGTTCATTGCCCCAATTGTTAAGTCACCCACAAAGGAGGAAAGGATACCACCCCAAATTTGGTTCAGAGATCAAGCGTGATTATGTGACACACACATGAATGTATGAAAAGACTCATTATTCACATAATGAGGCTTTACAGAAGAGCCCCCAAGATGGTCCAAAAGTGGTTTAAGATAGCAAAACAAACAAACAAACAAAAAAAACCCCTGGTTTTATGTTGGCTTGGGCTGGGGCAAGACTGACAGTTTCCATGCAGCTTTCCACAGCACCAAGGAAGGGAGTACCTGGGTCTCCTCAGTTTGTCCATATGTGGGTAGACTATTAAGAAAGAGGAGTGAAGCTTAGAAGATGTCAGCACTCTGACATAAAAAACATATCTATTACAAGGTACATAAGAGCTGTTCAAAATGTTTTGTCATTAAAGAAAAAAATAAGAGCAATTAAAAATTAAAAATCTATTAACATATATTAGAAATATGTGTAAAGATGTGAAGAAATTGATAATGTCAGACAATCAGGGGATTATATACTGAATCATCAAATCCAGAAAATGTGGTTATGCTGAGTCAAGTAAAGTATTAGTATAGCCAATGATATAGCAACTCTATTATTTTATCCTGAGAGCTGCTTCTTTTTTATAAGAATATGAATATGTCATGAAGAAAGGTATTACAATAATGACTGCAGTAGCCAGGCAACTGCATAGTGAAACTCCATACTATGGAAGGCTATGCAGCAGCTAGAAGCTGCAAATCAATGCAAATCAATTTAATGCTGAAGAAAAATAATAAGATATTGAGCAGGAAGACAACACAGAGTCATTTTTATATGCTTGAAAATACCAATGATTTAAATTTTATAATGATCCCATAAATTCAGGGACAGGTAGAGATATAAAAAATTAAATCTAGGGCCTCTCTGGTAACACAAGGGGTTAAGTCTCAGCAATATGAAGCTATCTGCAGCACTGTAGCATGAGTTACCCACATGGTGCAGCAGACCTTTCCTGTCTTGCCCACTGCTCCCCTCAGCGGTGTATTTCAGCCAATCTGCCTATTCTGCTCCCCATTCTGTCTTTGGTGAATCCTTTCACCCCACCCACTCTGGTCTGCACCCAAGCTCTTGTATGCATAAATAAACAGATCTTAAAAAAAAAATTAAATCTATTAGAGCAGCTGCCTCTGGGAAGGACATAGATGACTATGGGAAATGAAGATGAAAAGAAATAAAGTATGGTGGTTTAAATACATTGATAATGCTATTGTTACAAACTGAGTACTATAATTAATTCAATTTCCTGCACACAAAGTACAGAAACTTGTTAAATATAAAATATAAATGAGTCAGGCAGACCGAATTAGTGCTATGTCACATTAGCCAAGCTGGAAGAAGCTATCAGGCAAGAAGCACAGTTACTAAAGTCACATAAATCAAAAAATTGTTCCCAAATGTAGGTAATAGTATCCTTGGTCAACAGGTGGAGAGGTGTGGGATATCATAAAATAAGGCCATCTCTAGATGGCAATTCTGAGGCATGAAAGGAAAAAAGAAAATGAAAAACCAGCAGAATATTTCTTTTAAAAGGCAAATGTACAAATATCTGAATGAGTAAAAAAGGATTTAAGACCTTGTTGAAGACAAATGAATACAAATACTAGAGAAAGGGAGTAAAGCATAAAAAAGCAGGATCCTGGATCCAATGCACCTGCAACTGTAGTACATTCCCTCCTATAAAATCAAGCAAAGAGACACTGGTATAAGGGTCTTAAGTTGGGGATGACATTTGCACATTCAAGGGTCAACTCTATCCAAGCAGTTCCAAATTCATGTCACAGAAACATCACATTAAAACACTCCTAAGTTTCCAATCTCTACCAGTCCATCCTCATCAGTTGTACCAGGTCCCAGCAATTAGTTCCCTACTCACCTAGATAGTTCTGACTTGAGATTTCACCATCCAATATATATGGTCCTTCTCCTTGCTCCAAGTTAAAAATGACTTCTGGCTTGGGAACCTGACACCCTATTAATAGGAAATGATAGAGGACCTTGTATCAGAGCTCATCACAATGAAGACTTCCATTTACTTTTCAGAAACATTCACAAGGAACAAAGGCATACTCATAATAACCAAGACAGATCATTAGACAAAATTACGACATACTGAGGATATCCCACATATCCAAATCCCAGAGATTTTTAGAAATTCTGCTGAGGAAGAAATACATTCACTTAGTTATAGCCTAACTGAGCAGAGCCGTGCTTACCCACTGAGATCAAGTTGAAATAGTTTTCCAGCATCACATCCCTGTATAAGTTTTTTTGAGTAAGGTCCAATTGTTGCCACTCTTCTCTGCTAAAGGTTACAGTTACATCCTTGAGTGACACTGATTCCTGTAAAAAGACATGCCTACTCAGTGTGAAGGACCAGGATTGCAGAAGGGAAGCAAGATATTTTAGGAACCTACTTTATTTTTCTTAACATGACACAACAATCTTATTAAACACATTTTAAAAATACCACACCCTTTTTTCTGTGTTATTGACAGTGTTCTGATTTGTTTTACATGCATGCTAGATACAAATAAGCTGTGAAAACTCATCAAGCAGTATATATATGATTTGTGCATGTTTTTTGTATATGCCATATTTTATTAATAACTCAATTAAGAAAAAACACATTCTGCCATTCATGTTATTCAGTGATGCAATAACTAAGACAATTCTTTTTAAAAATGTGATTAAAACAGTGTGGTACTGGAATAAGAACAGACAAATAGGTCAAAGGAATATAATCAAGAATTCAGAAATAAGCCCTCATCTTTATGAGCAGTTGATATCTGATATGGGTATCCAACAATTTAAAAGAGAAATATTGCCTTTTCAAAAGAGTGTGGTGGAACAAGTAGATATTTACATGTAAATGAATGAAGCTGGACACTCAGCTAGTGCCATATTAAAACAAAAACAACTCAAAATGGATCAAAGCATTAATGTACATATATTTATTCAACAAAAAACACAAGAGGTAAATCTTTATGACAGTAGATTTGTCAATGACATTAGATACTAAGTCAAAAGCACAAGCAACCAAAGGAAAAGAAGAAAACTTCCTAAGAATTTAAAAAGTTGTGCTTAAAAGGCTATTCCAAAAAAAGTGAAAAGATATTTTTCAAATAATCTCTCTCATAAGGGACTTGTATCTAGAATAAAGAATTCTAATAACTCAATAAAAAGAGAAATAATCCAATTAGACAAAGGAGGACCTTGGAGTATGAGTTTGATCCCCAGCCAGGGAGCTGACCCACATGGAGCAGCAGACCTCTTCTGTCTCTCTGCTGCTTCCCTCAGGGGTGTATTTCAGTGGATCCACCTGTTCTGTTTCCCACTCTCTCTGGTGCATCCTCTCACCAGCATCCCCTACCAGCCCATTTCTCTGGCCTGTACCCCAGTTCTTGTATGCATAAATAAATATAAGGTTTTATTATTTTTTTAAATAAATCTTTTTTTTTAAATAAAAGTTTATAATACAACAGAAGGAAGCCTAAGCTTGCAACTGTTTCACGGACAGAGAAGACAGGACAAAGGTTAGGAATAATAGAGAAGGGATGTGGAAAGGAAGTGAGAGAAGAGAACCCTTAAGAAGGAAGCAGTGCTCTTACTGCAAGGAAGAGGGTCATTTAGAAACAAGAAAAAGGAAAAAGAATGAGAAGTGGGGAAGAAGGAGAGGAAAGCAGATGACAGCACAGAACAAGAACTGAGACAAGTGTTGAAATAGAGAATACAGACAAGATAAAAGGAATAAAAAAGGAAGAAAGAAGCCTAGCCTCTTCATTCCTTTTATTTTAGCTATATTCAGGAAAGTAGATTCAGTGATGGTAGTCTAAAATGAAGGTCAATGTTAGTTCTGGCCAGCAATAGGACTGTACCTATCAAAGGTATATGGAAAAGACACAACAGACAGCCTTCCTATAACCTCTGGAATGTCAATTTGGTGATACAAGTCTCCAACATAGCTTTCTATATAAGGAAGAGTATCTAATTCCCCTCCTTGGCTTTGGCCTCTTAAGAAAACTTAATGCACAGTTTATTTTCCCACCCCAAGATCAGATGCTGCATTCCCCACAAAGAAGAAAATGCTTCTAGCGACTGCCAGTTATTGAAAGAAATAATTCCTCTTTGGATAGCCCAATTTTACTCATAATGACAAACACTATGTTTCCAAAGTCATGCAGAAAGTAATGGCTTATAGAGTGCTTGGAAATTACTCTCTCTTTACCATAAATGAAATAAATTACATATCAATAATATAAACCATGTATCTAGTTCCCATTACTGCTAATTTTGCAAGAAGATAAGAGACAATTTTATAGTTCAAAATTCTATATATATGTGTGTGTGTGTGTGTGTGTGTGTGTGTGTGTGTAGATAGAAAGATAGATAGATCTATATTCCAAGCATGGCTCCAAGTTGACAGATCTTTATCTTCTTTATCTCTTATCTTAGTTTTTGAATTTATATTTGTCTACCTCATTTTATTAGATGTTTACTAATTCTAGAACCTGGACTTTTAAACCAGAATCCTAAAAACTAGGATATTTATTTATTTATTAGAGATTTAATTTATTTATGCATACAAGAGCTAGGAGGAGGTGGGGGTAAGAGGATTCACCAGAGACAGAGTGGGGAGCAGAACAGGCAGATTGGCTGAAAAAAAACTGCTGAGGGGAGCAGTGGGAGAAATAGGAGAGGTCTGCTGTGCCATGTAGGCCACCTCCCTAGCTGGGGATTGAACTCATGCTGCAGTAGCTAGCGATAGCTTGATGGTGCTGAGACTATATATAGAGAGTTAATTTTAAATATATAATATATATAATATATTACATATAGAATATATACTATATAATATCACAAATATTACATTATGTACATATATACACATCATATAAATTACATAATATATTATACTATCTATTCATATATTATATATATAATATATTATATACCATATTAAAAAGCAACTATATATATAATACATATATATATAAAGCAACTATCTATCTACCTACCTATGTATACATATGTATCTGTATATCTACCTATCTATGTATACATATGTATCTGTATACATACATATGTATACATAGACAGGTAGGTAGATAGATAGTTGCTTTATATATATATGTATTATATATATATAGTTGCTTTTTAATATGATATATAATATATTATATATAATATATGTAATAGATAGTATAATATATTATGTAATATAATGTGTATATGATATGTGTGTGTGTATATATATATAAATATATATATATATTAAGCAATAAATATATGAACAAGTGAGAACTCACCAGAGACTTGGTCATTTCTGCCTCCTCTAGGACAGGGGCAGAGCTAAGAAAACAAATGGAAAGAGGTACAGATGAGAGAGCAAAGCATATCCACATCACCCATGGACATACTTCATTTGTGTTCACACACCTTACCTAAAAGCTCATTTTTAGGGCCACATCATAAAAACATCATTTCCTATAGCACAAAGATTTAAATACAGGATGACTAATAGACAAAAAAGGGTAGAAACATCTTGATACATAATCATTGTGAACTGCTGATACTTTTATACACCATCCAAAAGATGCAATGCTGTGTCAAATTAAAGTACTGTAGAAAAATATGAGAATCTCAAATAAAAGAAAAAATGTTGTACCAAATATTATGGCTTCATTTTCTATGAACTATGTATGTGCAAGCACATGCACATATATATGCATACACATTATGCATAAATGTATTCCTGCATACACATAGAGAAATTTATCTAGACGTATATACTAATGTGTTAACAGACACACTATTTGGATGATAACAAAATTATAGGTAACTTTGATGTTCTTATTATTCTTATTGCCTAGTAAAAAATAAAATAATTGTTTTAAAGAACATAGTGATTCTGACCTAAACAGTAATTAGAGTATATCCATAGGAAAAGCCAAAGAAGGAGCTTTCTAGATTTTCATTTCACTTTGCGTATGATTCTTCAATAGGAAGTTTTAATGGAAACTTGACCTAAGTGGATTTGATTCTAGTTAATAACAAACTTTAAGACCTGAACCAAGTCACTTACTGAAGCCACTGTTTTCCATTTTTCTGACTTAAAGAAAAACCGAACAATTAGGACAAGGAACACATCTACTTTCACCTACTTTTTAAAAAAAAAATTAATTTTTATTTCTTATTTCTTCTTCTTCTTATTATTTTTTAAAAGATGTATTTATTTGTGCATACAGAACTGGGGTACAGGCCAGAGGCTCAGGGGTGGCGAGAGGCTTCACCAGAGACAGAGTGGGGAGCAAAACAGGCAGATCGACGAATTACACTGCTGAGGGGAGCAGCAGGCAGGTCAGGAGAGGTCTGCCACGCCATGTGGTCAGCTCTGGGGCAGGCTGGAATCGAACTCATGCAGAAGTGGCTTTAGCTTCTTAGTGCTGTGCTTTAACCTGCTGGGCCCCAAGGAGGGACTCACCTACTTTTAACACTTAGTATTTTGCCACCTTTGCTTAATGTTTCTGTAATACACCTAAGTCCACATTTATAAATTTATATACTTTTTCTTTTGGAACGTTTTGAAAATTGTAGATGTCTTGACACATCATGCTTAAAGACATCACATAAATATCCTAAAGGATTAGAATGCCTGAGAGAATTAATAGTAATTCCTTATCGTTTGAACATTCAGCTCATATTTAAAATTCCCCAGTTATCCCCAAAATACTTTTTCTTGCTGTTTTGTTTGAAGCTGATTGAATTAAAACTTAACACAATGGCCACTATCCCTTTTACTCTAAATCTGTTCTCCCCAATATTTTTTTGTTTGTTTTTTAAAAAAGACTTATTTGTGGCCCTCCCTGGTGGCGCAGTGGGTTAAAGCACAGCACTAAGAAGCTAAACCTACTTCCGCATGAGTTCAATTCCCGCCTGCCCTGGAGGTGACCACATGGCGTGGCAGACCTCTCATGACCTGCATGCTGCTCCCCTCAGCAGTGTACTTCGTCGATCTGCCTGTTCTGTTCCCCACTCTGTCTCTGGTGAAGCCTCTTACTGCCCCTGAGCCTCTGGCCGGTACCCCAGAGTTCTGTATGTACAAATAAATAAATCTTAAAAAAAAAAAAAAGACTTATTTGTTTATTTATGCATACAAAACCTGGGGTCAGGCCAGAGATACTGGTGTGAAAGGATTCATCAGGACAGAGTGGGGAAAAGAACAGGTAGATCTGAAATATACTGCTGAGGAGGAGCAGTGGGCGAGACAGGAGAGGTCTGCTGAGCATGTAGATCACTTCCCTGACTGGATATTGAATTCACATTCCAGTGGCTGCAGAGAGCTTCACAGTGCTGCATCTTCACCCCTTATACCACAAGGGAGGGCACCCTTGGTTGGTTTTTAAATTTTATCTTTGCTTTTAATTTGTATTTAGAAGTTTTCCTATTAAATACACTTTTCTAATATAAGCAGAACTTTGATAATTTGTTACTTTTATTATTATTTTGTACATATAAAGTACAAAACTTATTAGGTATATAGCATTTTCTGCTATTTACCATACATGTACATATACCATTCCGATGACAACAGAGAACATTTCTGGGACCTTTGGAAAGTGTTAAAAAAAATCACATAATTTTTAAAACTTAGGGGAAAAAGAACAAAGCATTTCCTTTGTCTTTCTCTATAGCTGTGCTTTAGGGTAACCAAATAGTTGAAAAGGAATTTCTCTTTTTCTCTTTAATTATGCTAGTTAGTAAATGAAAGAATGTTAGAAATGGAAATGTCTATTACGAATTCCTTATTAACTAATGAACCTACAAAGCAATCATTGATGACTGCCCATAATACAAAAAGAGAATCAGATATTACACACCCTCTGATAGAATTACACAATACCACCTGGGAAGTACCCTTGCCCAAGCCCCACCAAAAAGGCACCTGAATCTGATCATGCCTCTGCATCTAATTTCCAATCCAAGCTATATAAAGTTACATATATTTTTGAAAGCTAATTATAATAAATTAAAAATAAAAATCAACAAGCAGCTATAAATCAGAGACATTCTATAAGGTAGGAGATAAGAAGATCAAACGGGTGGGAAGAGCACAAGGGACTATGATGATGGGACACAGGTGAAGTGGTGGTGGGAATTTCATGGGGACCTGAGAGGTGAAAGCATACCATCTACAATAATGATGTAAAAAATATGTAAAATTACAAAATAATAATAGCATATATTTTAAAATATATTGTAATTTTGTGTACTTATTTTTAAATTTAGACTTACATATTTAGATATTTAAGAATGAAATAACAATGTGAGATTCACTGTAAAATAATCTAGCAAGAGAAAGGATGTGGGCAAAGGTAAAGTATATATGCCCAATGATTGGGCATAAGTTGCTAAATTGTGGAAGCTAATTGATGGGTATATGGTGGTTCTTTACACAACTTGCCTATCTTCTGTAATTTTGAAATTTTCAGAGTGAAAAGTTTAAAGAGTATATTTTTAGATTACCAGGGAAAGCTTAATTTGCACTGAGTATCAGATAGCATTAGGGAGTGATTATAATTTTTATTTGGTGGGTATTGGCAGGCTATACAGGAAGAAAAACTGTCTACATTAGTTGGACCTAATACTTACTGTGGGTGATACTGTGATAATGTGGTGGGTGAAATGACATATTATCTAAGGTTTACTTAGGAATATTCTGTTTAGAATTTCTTACAAGATAGTAGGTAAAGAATACTGGCAAGTAGTTGATAACTATAAAGAACTATATTGAGAGCATATAGAGGATTATATAATTTATTCTCCTTTTCTATAATAAAATAAAAATATATAAAAATTTAAAAAATAACCCTCTCCCACTATAGAGAGCAGTCTCAGGATATACAGCATGAATCATGTACTGGTCATATTGGTCAAAAGATAGTACTTTGTTTTATTAAATTTAGCTCTGAGAAAATTCCTGTTTCTGGGTTCCCCCTACCCACCCTTCAGCAATTCTCACATTCCTACCAAGCTGGTCTTGGCCAGATAAGGGACCTGTGAGACAAACTCTCCTTGGCTGGCACATTCACACTAAGCATCACCTATGTCTCGTTTAAATCTTCAATCTTCCCAGGATCCCAAAGCTGGGTGGATGATCAAAGACTGGTAACAATATTGAAACAGATTCTGAAAATGAGATCTGAAGGCTCAACTACCTGGTCTGATCTCAGGGCTCTGTGGAAGCACAAAGGGATTCTGAGGAGAATCTACAGATTTTTCTATAGATCTACACAGAAAGAATTAAGAAAATCAAACTGCCTCATCTGCAGTAAGGAAAGTTAAACACTGAGATAGCATCTAAAAGACCCCTTCATTGTTAAGAGTCAAGAGTGACCTTTTCAGAAAAATACTTGCAGGATAATATATCAGGAAAACAGCCCCAACAGGTGTGAAAGTTAATATATTTTTGTATACTTAATGAAGTCAAGAAAATATAAAGGTATCATCTAAGTAAATTTGAAGTTCCAACACGCCTTCTATCTCCAATAGGAAATGACATTCTCCCTACCCCACAAGGAAGGAGGGCCTCCTAGCCCAGCAACATTTCACCCAATGAGAATTCCATACCAATGAACCAACAAAAACAGCTACACACACCAAACTCCCAGTTTTCTCCTATGAGCTCTGGTAACACCTCTAAAATCTAAGTTCGTACCGCTTTTGTACCAAGAGGAGCACGTGTCTGCTAGTTGTTTTCTGAATATAAACCCATTTCATGTGTGAAATAACTAGTTACTTTTGACAAATATAAAATGAATCAACAAGAAATCTCAACAGAAAAATACTATTCAACAATTGTTTTTGTAAAAGATTATAAAATTATAAAGGATGATGATGATATAAGGAGGCCATTAAAGGGAAAATCAGTACTATTCTATGATAAAGCATTCTAATTAACTGGGGGGGGGGAGGGAACTTGTTACATGGGGTGTAGAAAAGAAATAGAGTGAAAAGTCTATTTTATCAAGGTATGAAAATATTAAGGGAATGCAGAAAATAATGAGTTTAAAATATACAGTAAGGATTTACTATTTCCTTTACTAAAGGAAAGTACGGAATCAACTTAGTGTAATAACTAAGCTTAAGAAGTAAAATTATCTGAGAAAAACCATAGGTTGAATGAGGGAAAAAAAGCAATATGATGTATTCTTTACAAGTAGTTAACCTCGCGAAAGATGAATATAAAAACACAGCAAAGACACATCATCCAAGTGCAATAAAACGTGAAAGCAGAAATGGCAATAAACATAGGAAGGTGAGGGCCCTCCCTGGTGGCGAAATGGGTTAAAGCACAGCACAGCGAAGCTACTTGCTTCAGCAGAGTTCCATACCCGCTCCAGAGCGAGGTGACCCTCAAGGCAAGACAGGCTTCTCCTGACCTGCTCCGGGCTCCTCTCAGCAGAGTATTTCAGTCAATCTGCCTGTTCTACTCCCCATTCTGTGTCTGGTGAATCCTTTCACCGCCCCTGCACCTCTGGCCTGTACCCCAGTTCTGTATGCATAAATAAATAAATCTTTAAAAATAAACAGGTGAAATTCGAGATTTAACGTGTTTTGTGGAAAAAAGAGATCCTGTAATAAGAGTAACCAATAAATAAAAAAAGATACAAAATGCATTAACCACTAGTGTATGTTTACCTCCTAAACACACGAATAAAACCAGCAAAAAATAAGAGAAACTATTAATAAGATATCTTTCTCAGAATAAGATGGCCCAAGTAGACCAAAAATAATAAAGAAAAATATAAAAAGCTATATTTAACATACATGAAGCGAACTTTACTCCACAGGACAGAAAATACTTTTATATCCAATGAACGAAGTTTACTGTGCAACTTTGTTTCAAAGAAAATTTCAATCCATTTTTATGCTGGGAGTTCACAGAATGCATCTGATGACAATATAATTAAAATAAAATAATTAAAACATATCTTAATAATTTGGAAATGAAAGTATTTTCCTAAATAGGGTCACAGGGAATATCACATTGCAATTCACACGCTTTAGATAAAGGTGTATTTGAAGAAACTTCACAATCTTAAACCGATCCAGTACTAAATTAAAAAAAAAAACAGAAAGACAATTTTTAAATGAGTTTACAAGAAAAAAGTATCTACAAAGAAAGTTAAAATTTAAAGAGTAGTCAGTATAAACACAAGTGGTAACGCCTATTAGTCACTGAAATAAACTTTGAGATGCCATATTACAAAACAAGAATAAGAAAAAACGATAACTATATTAAGAATGACAAAAGTAACTATTAGTCTGGATACAGAAGAGATCAAAACAAGTAAATAGAAGTTACCTGAAATCCCACCGCCGCCGCCGTGTGTGTGTGTGTGTGTGTGTGTGTGTGTGTGTGTGTAAATCTTCGGGGGGGGGAACGATAATAAGAAATGGAAGTAAAATGATGAGCATAAAAGAAAGAGTAAATCAATTAAGACCTAGCATCAGACCCTCCTCAGATTCGTCATTATTCAGTTCCCAGTTATCCGGTCCACCTAACCCCGCCGATCGCATCTGTACAGGCTGCGGATGCACCACCCCTTCACTAAGCCCGCGGATCCACCATCAAAGTACCCGCCCCCCCAGGCCGGTCCCCCAAACCCCAATCATCCTATCACTGATACGACTGCTCGATAAGGACTTTAGAGACGCTTCTTCACTCAGTCCACGATTGCTCTCATCCCATGCCCCCATCTGCCCCAAGCCCCGACTCTCTCAGGGCAGTGGTCAAATTACCGCAGGCGATGATTGTAGTCACCAAAACTAAACCGGACCCACAGCTTTTCGACCCCTCCTTGCCCGTGCGGGATGCTTCAGGGCGCCCCAGGGTGTGCGCATGCTCGGTAGTAGCTTCTTGGCAAACTTGCCAGTACTCAAAATGGCGGAGTGCTAGATTACCGCTCCCTCCCTCTTCAGATAGTTTAAATTTTGCCCCAAGATGACATTCCCGGGTGTAGTCTGACACTGGCCTGTAGTGGGCCATGTCAAAGTGACATAATACTGGCTGAGAAACGCGAAGTGGAAAGGTGGCAAGCAGAGATACAAATATGGGACTGGGCAAGGAAAACAAGAATTGGTGACAAGGCTTTTCTCAGTGCTCTTAGGGACACAACAACAATATCAACCAACAAGATCTAATCAGCAATTATCAAACACTAAACCCCCAAACACAGAAAACATATCCTCCTCAAGCTTCCTGCAGCTTTTAGGAAGGTAAACCATAACGTGAGTTATAAATCTCAGCAAATTTAATAGCACTGAAATCATAAACACTCTGACACCGTAAGACCAGGCTACAGATCAGCAATAGAAAGACACTGAGAAATTTACAGGAACTAAATATCCTAATAATGCAGGTAGGAGGCCTAGCCAGATACTGTGGACACAGTCCCTACCCCAGCCTCTTACCTCTCAAGGCCTTGGACTTCCGAAGACAACTCATCACATGCTGTGAAGCCAATTGATAGAAGGGAACTTACTGACTTTTAAAGTGAACTCAGGGAGATGGGTGGTTAGGAACAAAGGAAATTCGGGCTAGGGTTCTGTTTCCTTTCTGGGTCCATGCTCCTTCCTCCCAGCTAGCTGTGCTGCACCATACTAGCCACTGAACATTTCAGTTTCTGTAGGGGTTGGATTGTAAAAGTTCTGCACTGGCTTAAGTAAAGGACCAAGCCATGCACTGGCGTACCAGGAGGACACCTATGTTCTCCACATCCATCATTGCTCCTCCCACCCCGCCCCCCAAATGCTGTCACCAGCTCAGTGGGTCCTTAGTCACACTTTAGGGCTGTGGGAGGAAGGAAGGGAATTTCTGCTCTTCCAGGCCAGGGCTTTTTTTTTTTTTTTTCACATTTGAGCCCAATTCCCTGATGCACGAATCTGAACCCGAATCCAGCCGCTAGACGTTCTCGGCTATGGTCTGAGAAGGGCTGAGTTTCCCTATGGCGCTAATGCTGTACGGAAGAAGCGCCCATCCAATATGGCCGCTCCCAGTACAAGTAATAAATGCCGCCATCTTGTTCCTTAGTCCGGGAGCTGGAGGGTGCCATGTTTGCTATTGGCGCGTGCCAGAAACGCTGGCCCGTTGGGTATTCACAACTTAGGCCTTGTGGCTTCCGTAGTTCCGATAGGACTTGTGGCTTCCGTAGTTCCGACTTCACAGCGAGGTTCTGAAAATGGAAGAGCTTCTGAAATTCCGTGTTTCTTCTTGCCTGGAGAATTTTGAGCGCAGGAATCTGAAACAGAGTGAAGGCTCAGTCAGTGATGGTGGGACTCTTGTATGCTCGTTGGTGGGTGCTGTTAAGAGCTAGTGCTAGGGTGACCGGTTTGTCTCCGCCAGAAATTCCAGACTGGAGCCAAGAACACTGCCCAACCCGCGTAAATTGGAATTACTGATTCCCCTCCTGGATGGACTTAGAGATCTGTGACTGTAATAACATGTTGGTGAAGTTTAGTGAGGAGAATCCACAGGTTCAGCGATGAGCACCTGGTGAGGTCAGTGACTGGTACTGGGACTGATCATTATCAGGGATCGGTGGATACCCTGGTCACAACTGTTGTTTTTAATGGTTACTAGTACGGCGTGTTCATATGCTGCTCCTGTTAAATCCTCCCCATTCTTATTCACGATTACCATCCAATGAGTTTTTATAAAGTTAGGGCTTTTCCTGGGTATTGATTTGCAGCCTCCCTGCCTTTGTTCTTTAATGGTCCCTGCAGAGCACCTGGGTCAGGCCCTATCCACCCTCTTAACCTCAGAAACATTACTTCATTTATTAGCAGACAGCAGTTTTTAATAAGCACTTTATTGTGTAAATGTCCAATATTTGCCATTGTCATTTTTTTGGTACCTAAACATAATTCGTTTGAACTCCCGTTTTTTTTTCAATAAATGACAACATTTTTGCCTTTCATTATAATGGAATAATATTCCATTGTGTGAAGAGTTGACATTTGAATCCCAAACTAGTGGGAAGTTCTCTGAGTCCTCTGCTCACTTTCCTGCACCTGGGGACACTGCAATCTGCCCAGGTTGCTTTTGCCTCTGTTGCTGCTACCATGGTCATAGATGCTGACATTTGTGCTGCTGTGGCTGAATCTGCAGTTCTCAGAAAGGTCATGGTATTCTTCAGTGTTGTGACTTAATAGTCTTTTTTGCTTTTTTTAAGATTTATGATTTATTCATTTATGGGGCCCTCTCTGGTGGTACAGTGGGCTAAAGTACAGCACTGTGAATATGTCCACAGCCACTACAAGGAGAGTTTGAACTCTGGCCAGGGAGATGGCCCACAAGGCGTAACAGACCTCTCCTGACCTGCTGGCTGCTCCCCTCAGCAGTATATTTCAGTAGATCTGCCTGTTCTGCTCCACACTGTCTCTGATGAATCCTCTCACTCTGCACCTCTGGCTTATACTCCAGTTCTTGTATGCATAAGTAATCTTTAAAAAATTTATTCATTTATGCATACAAGAACTTGGGTACAAGCCAGAGATACATGGGGTGAGAGAATTCACTAGAGATAGAGTGGAAGCAGAACAGGCATCTCTATTGAACTACAATGCTAAGGGCAACAGCCCGTAAGACATAAGTCTGTTGTGCCTTGTGGGTCAGCCTCCTAGCCCAGTGTAGAACTCTTGCTGTCAAGGCTTTGATAGCTTCATAGTGCAGAGACTTAACCTCTTGTGCCACCAGGGAGGCCCTAATACCCTTTTATGACTTCTCTTTGTTGAAATTCTCAGTTCACCCATTCTTCTTTGAGCTTAGTGAGCATATTTATAATCATTACTCTTCTCTTTGTTGAAATTCTCAGTTCACCCATTCTTTGAGCTTAGTGAGCATATTTATAATCATTACTTTGAATTATTTTTCTGGTAGATTAAGACTAGTTTCCTTAACATTTCCCAAGGTTTTACCTTGTTTTCTCATCTGGGACACATTCTCACTCTTCATTTTGCTTGGCTGTTTTTGTTTCTTATTAGGTGAAACAATGGCCTCTTATGGTCTTGAAAGAGTGGCCTTTTGTAGTCATTGAACTTAGCATTCAATTTGTATTTTTTGGTTTTCTTGCAAACCTGACAGGTACCCATTTTGGAGGGTGTACCAAAAACAGTGTTGCAAGAGGAGTTATCTTTTTTTTTTTTTTTAAAGATTTATTTATTCTTACAGAACTGGGGTACAGGCCAGAGATGCGGAGGGTGAGAGGATTCACCAGAGACAGAGCGGGAAACAGAACAGGCAGATCAACGAAGTACACTGAGGGGAGCAGCGGGCGGGTCAGGAGAGGTCTGCCACGCCATGTGGTCACCTCCGGGGCAGGTGGGAATCGAACTCATGCGGAAGCGGCTTTAGATTCTCAGTGCTGTGCTTTAACCCGCTGCGCCACCAGGGAGGGCCCCCAGTGCTATGCTTTAACCCGCTGCACCACCAGGGAGGGCCAGAGTTATCTCTTTTTGCATTTCGTTTTAGGCGGGACTACTGCTGTATTCTGCTTGCTTCTAGACAGCAGATATATGGAGATGTCCCCTTGAGGACAGTGACCGTAATCAGGGTTTCTAGATAAATCTATAACCTCCTTTCCAGGAGATAGCAAGTTGTAGCAAGGCCAAAGGTGGGAACAAAGATATCACCTGGTCTACTTTCCCTGAGAACTTCAGCTTTAGTGGTACCACGGCTGGCCATTCTGGTCAGGCAGGTGTTATGTGCACCAGCCTTGGCAAGATGGAGGAAGCACTACAATGATACCCTTCAGCTCTGTAGGAAGTTAACTCTTTTAAGTACAAAAAAGGCATATGCCAGTGCTTCTGTCCCTGGAGAGTTCCAAGAGACTCTTGTCCCACTGGTACATACTTCAACAGTTAAGAGAGTCCCTTCATGTATGCTTTCCCTGCTTTTCAAATTGATACAATTGTGCTGGGTCCAGTGTGAATGAGTCTTTATGTTGCCCTTAAAGAGGCAGTAGGCCTGCCCCACCACCACTCAGGTCTGCTAGTTGCAAACCCCATTGGTTTTCATTGCCAGATATTTTTTTGGGGTGGGAACTTTCTAGAGCACAACTCAAGGATTGGGGCACCTTATGTAGGGCACAAACCCCTTATTTCTCAGGGAGAAGTTTTTGTGTGATCCCTCCTGGTTGGAGTTCTTAGTGAGACTGTCTGTCTCTCCTATCCATTTTATTGTTGTCCTTAGCTGGTCAGGGTGTTCTCAGATTTGTCAGAATAAATTGTACCATATGTATTTCATGTGTCTATGGAAGGTGAACTTAGAAGTTTCCTCTACTGCCATTTTGAACTACCTTCCCTTTTCTGGTGTTATTAAAAATGAACTTTAATT